ATTTATGGTGGGCAAATCCCAAAGGATAGCATCTTCGCATATGTACAATCCTTTAGCACGAAGAAATAAGTAACACAAGTATATAGTATATCTTCCTACTATATCTTCTATATCATTCTATTATTTTATTTTATTTTTTGAAATATTTTATTAAGAATATTTTTATATTTATATGATTTCATTCAATATTATATGATTATTGTCTCTCTATAAAAAAATTTTTCAAACAAGTTCGGTTTAGTTATTACATGATGTTAATTGTTTAGTCGACACTCGTATCATGTTTTTTATCAAATAAACTTGATTTGAATGAAAATTGCTTCTTGAAAAATTTTCAAATTTCGTTTTTCCTTGAAGAAAGGCATCGATCTTTTGGCTGATTCAACGGTTTAAAACTGTTGAATAGGAAATTGAAATTTTATTGTATGTTGTCATTGACAAAAGCTTCACTTTAAATCAAATTTAACTTTTGAAATGTAGGAATATTCATTTGACATTAAATTTAATTTGTTTGATTTTATCCGTGGAAATTTTGAATTTGTTGTATGACGCGAAATTATCCAACCACTGCTTCTTGCTAAATAATGTAAATAAATAATATCCCGCTTTAGAATTTTGAGAAATTTAATTACATTAATTAATATCTTTTTTTTTTTTTTTAAAAAAAAAGGGGGATTTGTAGTAAATAAAAAAACTCACTTGGTATAACGGCCAATTACATCGATTGGATAAGACATTTGAATCCCGATAATTGGAATTGTATAGTTTGGTACGTAACCGAACAAAAAGTACCCATCATCCGCATCTTTTTCTTTTTTCTTTTTATAGACATTTTTCGAGTTGGAGGCTTCAGGCTCAGGACCTTGTTGGGAGGTTTTTATAGACTCCGAGATTTGCTCGGTATCAGCGATATACGAATTTTTTTCACACGAATTAGATTCCGAATCCTCTTGCTCGAGGGTAAAAGATTTATTTTGAAGAGAATTGTCGCTTTCAAAAGGGAGGATGTCTTCTTTTGGGGACTCATTGAACTCGGTATTGGGCGATAAATGACCCATAGAAAAATCAGAGATTTCGACAGTCATTTTTTAATTTTATTACCGTACTTTTAACAAGCGAATTCTTTTTCTTTTAAATTTAACACCGTATTTAATGAAAATACGGTATATATTTTTTGTTTGGAACAATTTTCATTATTTATAATAAAAAACGAAGGTTTGCTGCGCCTAAGGATTACATAAGATGTTTTTGTTTTTGAAAACGTTAAAAAATGATGCCGGTTTATCACGTTGAACTTTTATAAATTTCCATCTATAACGACAAAAGAAAGCTTCAATATGACAGCCAAAAAGTTTTATATGGCTTTTTCATAAGACTCATGCAATGTAAAGAGGAGGTCATTTGATGTTGTGTCTTCTTTATTGACTTTATTGAGAAATTTTTAAGGGAAAACGTGGGTGCCTTGCTGCGTCGGAGATAAGGAATAAGGGAGGCCTTGGTGTCAATTTGCAAGATAAGATTTTTCAAAAAAAAGAGTGGTTTTTGTTTCCAAAATTAAAAGGAACCGTGGGGGTTTTTTCTTTTTTTAGAAAAAAAAATTTCAAATAATAAAAATTACTACGCACTAATAAAACGTCCAAATAACATTGCATCGATGATCTTTGAATGTGATGTAGATCCTGCGGGAAATCTGGACTTTGGTTTTTCCTTTACATATAATTAATTCAGATCATTTTATTTTAAAAAAGAATTAAAAGAATTTATCATCATTCAAAAGATGATAACTTATTAAGAAACTACGTATAAACTGATACAAAAATATTTTATGACCTCTTAATTAAATCATAAACCATGAGAAATTATATAGTTTTTCGATATATTATCTATGACGTTTTGTCCAAAATGTAACCTCAGGTGGTGATCGTCATGTTAAAGAATTTCCAAACCAATGTTTATTTCCTAATTTGGAAGGTTGACGGATGATACGTATAGTTTGTTCTAAAATATTCCATCGTTGCATATATAAAAACGTGCCCCAACGTGAGAACATTTCTCTCTTTTACAAAAGAAAACTAACAAAAAACAGTTCTGCCAAATACTATTTCGCAATTTTTGGCTTCCCAAGGAACGTAATAAAAATCTTTATTGTTTATTTTTGACTTAAGAATAATTTTTCCGATAACGCTACGCTTCTTACAAACGAAACGGAAGGACTTCTTCGATAACGCTAACGCTAC